AGGGACAGTGGTGTCCTGGAACTTGCTTTGTAGTCCAGGCTAGCCTTGAACTCAGAGATCCACCTGCCTCTACCTCCAAAATGCTTGGATTAAAGGCATGTGCTGCCAAGCCTGGCTTAATAAATGTAATAAATTAATAAATCCCTGAGCTGTATTTGGCGAGGATGGAACATACTGTACCTCCCGGGCCTGGAGCTGAGGCCATGCTGGAGGCAGCGCTGGGACCCTGAGGTCTAACCTTTAGGGTCCTTCCTCTTCTGCTCCCATGGGGACTAGCGGGCAGTAGCTGAGGCCTCTCCTCCTCTCCTGAGCCTGGAGGACCTCTCGTCAGTCTAGCGCTGTGGTTCTCAACCTTCCCAATGCTGCGACCCTTTAATGCAGTTCCTCCTGTTGTGATGAGTCCCAACCATAGAATTATTTTTCTTGCTGCTTCATAACTGTAATTTTGTTACTGTTAGGACTCTTAATGTAAATATCTGATATGTAACCCCAGTGGGGGTCCAGGCCCACAGGTTGAGAACTTCGGAATTCTAGCAAATGATGACCTGCCTCAGTGTTCAAAAAACTTTCCCATTCTTGCTGGTCCTCCTCCGGTGTGTGTTGTGGGGGTGCGTATGACTTAGCAAAACAAGCACCCAGGTCTGAGGCCCCCTTCCCTTCCCATTGTATGGCTGTAAGCTGTGCACTGGACTTCCCGTGTGACCCTGAGCAGAAACATCCCAGGGACAGTTATTTCAGAGTACCTTCGCTGCCTTGCTGTGGAGCAGGCTTGTGGCCCGCTACCTCTAAGGCTCCCTGCTAGGACAATCAGCCCTCCAGTGCCTCTGAGTCCTCAAGGTGGCGCCATACACAAACTTCCAGGCCCAGGCTTGTCAGAGGTCCGAACAGACAGCAGGTGACTTCTAGGGGCCCCTGGTGTGGATGCTAACACCCTCCAAAGCAGATTCCCAGGTAAACACGTGACTAAAACAGCAAATACATCTGAGTTGGGGTCCCTTCAAGAATCCAAGGCCTTGGTTCCTGCCCTCCCTGCGGGCTTGGAAGACATGCTCTCTCCTACCTTGAGAGGGGAGCAGACGGGTCTGCCTATGTGACACTTAGTCCCAGCCTCCCCAGGTGGCTGCTGCTTTCTACACTGGGAAGCTAAGGGAGAGTTTTGGGGCATTGATGCTGGATTTCCAGCTCACGGGTTTGGGGCTGGGGTAGTGATGCTCACAGGGCTTCAGGCTGCATGGAGCTTGGCTGGGGGCTGCATGGGGGAGGCGAAGCCACCAGAGACCCTCCAAACACAGTCCCAGGAGCTGGCCTCTCTCTCTGACTCTCCCCTCCTTCCTCTTCCCAGTACCAGCCACGAAAGAGCACCCAGAGGTCCAGGTAGAAGACACAGATGCCGACAGTCGCCCCCTCATCCCAGAGGAGACGTTACCTTCACCGGAGAGACCACCACCCTCTCCTACCAAATCCGACACCCTCAGGGTCCCCGGCTCGGATGCAGCAGCCCACAGGTTAGCCGTGATGATTTGCTTGGGCTTCTGTCCTCACGGTGCCGCTAGCCCATTTGACGTGAGGGGAAACAGCAGGCCTGAGATCTCCTCTGCTGGTGGTCCTGAGAAGTGTTCTCAGCGCCCCAGCTCAGACACCCTCAGCTGTGGTACAGAGGGCTGCTCCTGCAGAAATGCCAGTGTTTACACATACACTAAACGTGACAGCCAACTCCTGTCCCCTCTTTGATTTTGTTTTATTTTACATTTTGGCAGAGGATTGCTTCATAAAGAGCACGTATGATTATAAATTGCCAGAGTGCTAGGTCTTGTTTATTTTTCCTCTTATTTTTGTTTCTAGTCCAGGACCTCACATACAAGTCAAGAGCTCACACTCCCAGCATCTCCTAACAATTTAAAAATGCGTTTTTATTCATCGTTTTATTTGTTTAGTGTGTGCATGGTCCATGGCATGCGTGCAGGGGTCAGAAACAACTTTGTGGCCATCGATCCTCTCCATCTACCTTTACAAGATTCTGGGGATTGAATTTCGATCTCCGGTTTTTCATGGCGAGCACCTTGACCCACAGAACCATCTCACCCACCAGCACCCAGGGTCTCCTTTTTGAACTAAATCCATTCCTGTGTGCCCCTAGCTGATCACAGTGCTCCTGAGTCCGGCACACTGAACCCCAGTCCTCACGGCTGGGCAGACTCCGTAACCACATTCTGTCCCAACACTCTTCTTCCCTTTTTTCTTCTTTCCTTTTCTCCTTTCTTTTTTTCTTTTTCTCTTTCCTTTTTTCTTTTTTTGAGTCAGTGTCTCACCATGGAGCCCAGGCTTGCTTTGAACTCACAAGTTTCCTGCCTCTGCCCCCCAGGGACTGTGGAGGTGTGCCATTACACCTATCCATCCTAACTTCCTTTATGTGTCCCAAAGGACCTTTCTATGTGAGACCATCCACATGCGTTGTCCTGTTATTCTCATGTGGGGTTCACTCAAGTTTAGGTCCTAAGCCCTCATCCTCTTGTTCTCTGCTCTTCTGACCCTCACTTGACAAGCTGATGGATTGCCTTCATGTGCTAACACGTCTATCTATGTCCCCAGACTCTTGGTTCCGTGTGCTAGCACTGGGCATTTCGTGTTTATATGCTAATCCGAGTCTTTGGGAAGTGGCCATTCTTCCTTTCTGCATTCATTAACTCATGTTCAATAGCACATGAACCGAATCTCAGCACTCAGGAGGCTAAGGCAGGCGGATCACAAGCTTGGAAACAGCTCAGGGCCACATGACAGGACCCTGTTTAAAAATGAAAAAGACAATGAGAGAGAGAAACACACACACACACACACACACACACACACACACACACACACACACACCAGACAGGCACACACAGAGCTACATAGACACACAGGAAATCATCCCTAGATGTTGGCCTGATCTGCGTCCTCCAGGGACCATCTTTGTGTTTCTGTATTGACTTACTCTGCTCCACCCTAAGCAGATCTTTCTCTGAGGCTGGGGATGGCTTTCTTGATAGTGTTAACAAATGTCTGTCTTTCTCTCTTCCCTGGGTTTTTGGATTCCTCCATAGAGCAGCTCACCCCCACTCTTGAGGAAGAGGGTGGGAAAGTCCAGAGAACTAGCCCCGAGGATGCCAATATCAAATAGTACCAAGGGAACCTCTTGCTCACAGTTCATACCACCCCGGCTCTGACCTGTGGACCTGCACATCTAATCAGACAAGATAACTAGTAGCTCCAAATGCAACAGCCTGTGGTCTTCCTGAACGATAGGGGCTCCCCTTGATAACTTAGGCTGCGTTCTCTAGTTAGGAGCATAGACTTAAGAAGGAGGAGACTTGTTCAAGGTCACACCGTGAGCTGGAGACTGGACTCCATGTCTTTGTCTCACAGCTGAAGGGTATGATATGAGGGTGGGGTTGGGGAAACTTGAGATCAGAAATAGGAGGCAGAAGGACAGAAGGACACTTAGGCAGAGACTTAGCTAAGGGACAAGCACCTCTTTACTTCCTTGGGTAGAGTCAGTGCCGCTTATAGAAGAAGAGATGGAAGCAGCTTAGCATTTAAGTGCTGTGCCAAGGTCATGCTGATGCCAAGGTCATGCTGATGCCAAGGTCATGCTGATGCCAAGGTCATGCTGATGCCAAGGTCATGCTGATGCCAAGTCCATGCTGCTCACTGGCCAGGCCACCGAGAGGTGTTCAGGCACTGAGGTCCCAAGACCAGGCCATCTCTCCTCCTAAGAACCAGCGCGAAGGCAGCCATTGCTCCCTTAGCCGGCCTTCTCTGAAGGTGCCGTACCTGTCTGGGTCTCTACAGGAAGAAGCTACCTTCTCAGGAGGATGAAGCTGAAGAGCTCAAGGCACTGTCGCCGGCTGAGTCCCCAGTGGTTGCCTGGTCAGACCCCACCACCCCACAGGAGGCTGAGTAAGTGGAGCCACTCCTGAGTCTCAGAGGCATCAGGTTTGGGATGAGCAGACCAGGAAAGGAGCAGAAACCGGGGTGCTTTCAGAACCCCACAAAGGTGAACTTTATGTTCTAGAGCAGGAAGACAGGAGCAGCTCTCCTGCCCAGGGCTTTGCCAGTTGGTTGGGAGTGGGGGTGGGGTGGGGTGGGGTGGGGGGGAGGCAGCAGGAGAGGGAGGTTGGACTCTAGGCCAGATACGTTCTTTCTAGCTAGCAACAGAGAGGAAGGAGTACCTAGGCAAAATCTCCCCTGCCAAAGATCTTGGCACTGAGCCCCAAATAAGTCAACAGGAGGAAGAAGACCATAGGATCTGCTATAGGTCCCTACCTAGGAGCTTGTGAAATCAGATCCTGGGCTCCACACAGCCCTGGATAGTGGTCCCCAAACCTGCATTTCCATAGAGTTCTGGTGACTTCGATAGCTGGCGTGTGGGACATGGCTGGAGGTCATAGTAGCAGCATTGGAAGCTGAGTCTCCGGCATCTAACTGTCCCCAGGACTGGGTCATGATCAAGTACTTTCCTGAATCAGGTTTTCAGTAACCCTGGTTGATTTTAGTGCTTCGCTTGGGACACTGGCCTAGACACCCTAACAGGCTCTCCAGCCATGACCCTTGTACTGACTACAGGAAACTCGAGGTTGGCCTGCCTCCTTCCTTCTGTCTTTCTTCTATACATAATTTCATTTATGTGTTGTCATTGTATGTGATGTCAGGAGCACATGTGAGCCATGGTACACATGTAGAAGCCAGAGGACGACTCTGTGGAGTCACTGCTCTGACGTTTACGTTGGGTTCGGGATGAGCTCAGGTCCTCTGGCTCATGCAGCAAGCACTTCATCTGTGGAACCATCTTTCTGGCCCTCTCTCCATAATTCTATTCACTTTGTACTTACCAGAGTCATGAGAAATTCAGGGAATCCCTAAATCTTACACAGTCCAGCTGACATTTTAACACAATGGAATTATGTTTTATGTAGCAGAGCAGGGACATGGTTAGGATTTAACATAAAAAAATATAGCAGGAATCAGACATAATAATAAAAATTACCCTTGGGATCATGTAAGGAGGTTAATATGGAGACCCACATATTAGTTATGTAGGCTAAGCTGCTGTAATAAACAGGCCCTGTTGGTTCAGTGGCTAAGACGACAAGATGTCTCTTATATATTATAGTCACAGCACTACTTGTGTTTTTCAGGTCAGTGGAGACTCTGTTTCATGCAATCATTTAGGGACCCAGGTGGCGGTGACTCTGCTCTCTCCATGTAGCTTATAAGACGCTCTGGTCAAGACCAGAAAGAGAAAACTTCAGCCACGCATGGTGGCACAGGCCTATGATTTCAGCTACTCCGGAAGCTAAGAGAGTAGAATGGGTCTGACACTGTCAGGAAACAATGGGTTGGATCGGCCTCCCTTGGGCTCTGCTAGAAGTGGAGGCATGGGCATGACTCAGCATGGGCCTGGGGTCCTGGGAACCCCTCCTGTTTGGTGTTTAGCCTCAGCCTTGTTCCCACAGTGGCCAGGACCGGGCAGCCTCCACAGCCAGCCAGAACAGTGCCATCATCAATGACCGGCTCCAGGAGCTGGTGAAACTGTTCAAGGAGCGGACGGAGAAGGTGAAGGAGAAGCTCATTGACCCCGACGTCACCTCTGATGAGGAGAGCCCCAAGCCCTGTGAGTGGGCATAGGGGTGGTCACAGGCCAAGGAGGGCGGGGTGCCAGAAGAACCCCGCCACCCACTACGGGGGAAGGTAGCACAAGCGAGTGGTTGGGGTGTATGAGAAAAGCCCAGAC